TTTATAAATGAGACATTAAGCAATAAATTACAGTATGTAAATTCCAAAACTAAAGAGGACAACTGGGCAGCTACGAGCGGTGTGAGAGCACATAAAGTGACAGAAATGGCCTTTCAACCCAGGGATGAAAACTAACACTCACAGGTCCCAGGGAGGATACTCTATGGGACTCGGCACAAGTTGTGCCCTTGTCTGCTGTCTCTGCTTGAATACAGAGCAATATAGTGTCCTCCAAACATCTCCCACCAAAGCAAGGGCTAGATAGGAAATAGTTGAAGAGTATTTACTCGGAGAAGTCAATTCTTTTATGTGTGAATGTACAACTGTGTTCATACATTTTTACATTTGCCAACACTAACACAGAAATCAAGATTCAGTGGAAAGGTTTATTCACATGACACCAGGCACTCGGCAGCAAAGCCTGGACTTCAAATTCAAAAACGTGGTTTGTTACTCTACAACATGGACATTTTTCACTGATATCTTTAGTCTTCCAGTTGGAATAAATGGTATAAAATACACAACTAAACTTGCAGGCTATAGGCAACAGTACCCTTCAACGCATTAAGGTCAACAGAGACTGACACCAAAAACATGGAAGTTAAAGAGTAAGACTAATTAATCCAATATATACGTGACTGTTATGTCTTCTAGAACTACAGGAAGGAATCAGCTGTTAATATTGTTTAATATGCCCAGTTGGTCAGAACCCCCAAGAAGTTGCAAGTGTTTGATTTGTTTAGTTCTCTTAAGTAGAGGGAAATGACCTAATTTTTCTGATATAAATTTCTCAGGCCAGCTACTCCAAAGTGCATTTGTATGAATAAAAACTACTTACCCAGAGGGACATTCGAAAAGGCATTTCAGACAAAAGAAGCCCTAGTGTCAAATATTTTAGTCATTAAAACATAGAGCAGCTGCATGTTCTCAGTGAGGTACTGTCTGGAGCAAGAAAGCAAGTTTCAAAGTGTACAAGTCAATGAACTTCAATTTTTGTAATTACAATGTATAAAGATTGCGTAAAAATAAATTATAGAACTGATAAGCACGGCTGTAACGTCTGTTAGAATAATCTACTTCTGTAGGTTTAAATATAATGTCTTAGTCTAAGTCCCTTACACATTACATATATCTGACAAGCTCTTCCCCCTCAGAGAGAGGACTCACTACTGAAACATGGTCATTACTTTTTAGTTTGTTAGGACAGTGGAAGAGAATTCGCCCCTGAAAATATACTTTTACACAGATTTTCCAGCAGCTGTGACAGTGCCAGGGCAACTCTGAGTAATCTATAAAAGCTGCAATGTATCGTGTCCGCACACCACAGAAGTTAGGAGAGCAATGCTATTATCTTCGCAATGGCATAGCAAAAGTGTGGAAGTCACACTTGTCTAAACACAAGTTTAACATCCTTTTCATACCTTTGCCGACAGACAGGCACCTGTCTCTCTGCTGGTGCAGTGGAGTGCATAAAGTCAGCAGCCTGTTTTGGATGTGTCAGGTTACCACCTCAAGCGTGGTTAGATTTCCAACACAGTGGAGAGCTATCTGTAAATACATCCTACGCACACTAAGGTGACTGAGGGAAAACATGATCAGTAGCTGGTTACATACAACACAGTCACTCCAGCTAGTGGAAAAACACAGACTGTTAAAACAACACCAAAAAAAAAAAAAAAAAAAAGTGTTATTGCCTAAAAGTAACAGTACGTGCCCAGGATTATCACCACCTCTGAATTTATAAGCACAGCACGGGAGACAACTAACTGTGCATCAAATCCACTTCCCTCAATTTTAAAGCAACAACGTATAAGAAATTTTGCCACAAAGCATCTTCTCTACCAAAATGAAGATGATCCACAGATGATTCAGATTTGCTCAAAATCCTACAGCACACTTATGGACTTAACGTGATCATCTGTGGCTGTAGCACAGAACAGCATCGAGAAACGTGCCAACATAGAAATCCTTTCAACAACGTTGGATCTGTTTGCAGGACAGCATCCTCAAAGCACGATGAACGAGCAGGTACTGGAGCCCCCTTCCAACACGAACAGAATGAAGCCCCAGAGCAGGACAAAATCCTATTTGCAACATGACTTTCAGGTGCTTCCACATGTTCTGCAGTAGCTAAAAAAGGATAAATCTGCGCTAGCACTCTACGCACACCCCAACTCTAGGCAAAATATAAATGCCCAAAGGCAAGAAGCTAAAACACACACAAATTTAACACTACTTTAAGAGGGTGACATTTCTTGCACCCATCAATGTTCATGAAGTTTCTCTTTTAGAAGAGAAACCGAGACCAAATGTTCCCTACTATGCATTTGTACTAGTCGCCTATCTCCAAAAAAAGAGTATTACCTAAATTAAAATAGCAAGCATTAAAAGAAATGCAGTCCTCAACATGGCTGCTACTACATTAGTTTCATGTATTTTACTTTCATACAGAAAACCTTAAAGACAGCTGTAGAGACATTTGTTAACAATTCTCAGGTCTTCACCTGCCATACAGGTAAAAATCTTCATCATCCCTGCAAAAGCCAGACTCCAGTCTTTCCACTCAGCTTTGATCTGAGCTCAAAAGAACTACGGCCGGTGATTTTTAGAGAGTGGGCAGGGCAGACCACAAAGAATAAGGACAAACCCTCCAGAAACATATTACATTCTGGTTGAGCAGCTATACTACACGCAATGGGCCCCTCTGGAATTCCCACTTGGGAACTTTAAGAAAATGAAGATGTTTTCACTATGTTTCAGACTTGAATGCATTCCTATTCATTAACCATTTTTCCCAAAATATATCTGTTTCTTCTGTTCAATTGAGGAACATCAGGAAGAAAAGTCACCTCATCAGATATTTAAGAATATAGGCAACAGTGTACTTTTCCTGGAATGTATAAATTTCTGAATAATACCCAAGAACAGCATGACAGGATACTCTCCTTCAATAGCACAAAGTTCTATTCTTTTTGCAAGCAAAATATAGTACCACCCACTGAACCGATGACTCTACATCTGGTTTATCTCGTACACTCACAATGCCACACTTCCTGTCCGTATCTATTCAACACCAGTTAACACCCACTTCGCATCCCAAGCCTAACAAAAATTTCCACAACAGCCCATCTCAAGGCATAGTATTTTGGAAGATAAATTCTAATCAACTAAGATAAAACACCTCTTAATGTCAGGTTGTTCTGATTTTAAGTTTTCGTCAAATTGCAAATTCTTTAAATGCTAACAGTCTACCATTCTGATCAAATCAAGAAACGTATGTAAAGATGCATTTACTTCAGAGTATTTTTTCCCATGAATAAAGTAAATTTATTCAGTGAATTCTAAAATAAAGTGGGCAAATAAGGGTAAACAAGTACCATTATGATGGCAGGATGCAAAGACTCATCCATTTCTATGCCTCTTCAGCACAGAATAGCCTAAAACCTTTTTTGACTTCGGGTACATGTGCCCAGAATAGATTAACACTTCATTTAAATACAGGAAGTATTTGTCATTATAAGTGCAAGTCCTGACTGCGAGTCAAAAGACGCCAGTCTTTAAACAGCAAGAAGTGGTTGACAACCTTTGTGTTCAGTAAAGGATTAAAAAAGCTGGAGTAAAATGCAACGTCTAGAAATCGAACATTTCGCTGTTCAACCTGGTAATGGCTAAATTATTAAAAAAATGGCTAAATTATTAAAAAATAACAATCCTTAAGCTAACAGCTCTGTTCTCTCCTAGACAGTGCTAAACCTTAACCTAAGTTTGAGCTTCCACAGAGCAGTTATTTTCAAAAACACTATCTCAGTTTAGCATTGGATTACAGTTCCTTCCTTCTACCAGAAAACTAATAAAAGAGAAAGACAAATAAGCAAGCAACCATAAACTAGAAACCTTATAAACACTTGAGTATATGTAAAAACACACACAGGCAACTATAGTATGGTAAAGTAGCGCATGAATCTAGTGTGAAAGTTCTCAAATTTATTGCATACCTGCACATACCCACAGCTCTACAAAAACACGTAACAGCCAGTTTCAGAGTTCCACCTAGCAACATCACCTGTTTAACTATCGGACAGAATTACTTTAAGTCTCATACAGATAAAAATTAGTAAGAAGTCCTTAGGTGTCAGAACCATAGACTACTTTCCTTGTGCATAGATATTTAATCCGTTAGCTTTCCAGAAGTGTCATCTGCTTACAGTCCATTGTAGAGTTAGTATTAGTGTGCTTTGAGGAAGAAAGCTTTTGATTACAAAGGGAGCATATGCAACAAGACACCTTAATGTCGTATCTATTTTTATTAATCATTATTCTAAAATAATATGATTTCATAAATAAAGGGGAAGAAGAAATGGCAACACAAAAGAAAATAACTATTTCTAATACTCCGATAATCTGGAATGAGTTCTCAGAATTCAAAAAGGTAATTTCAGTTTCACATGCATTAATAGTCTGTAATATACACACAAAATCAAAGCACAGAAGACACTCTCAGAAGTTAGCAAGTGCTTATAATCTCAAGCACTGGAAGGAAACCCAGGTGTTACTTTGCAATGTTTTTCAGTTATCAAAAGGGAGGAAGGATTCCTTCCCAAGCACAACCCACTGCTTACCTTACGAGTCAAACTGTAACCGTAACTCCACCTTTAACAGAGAACTGAGTACCTTTCCATGCAATCCAAGAGGTCTATCATTTCTGCTCTTCCAGAAAAACGAAGACAAATATTATATTACTCCTCTGCCTAGCTACATGATTTATTTCAACTAGATAATAATGTAGGATATCTCAGACAGTGATTTTTCCAAGGCATTTGTTACATGAGTCATCTGGCTTTTTAAAAAAAGCCACATCCTTTGCAATGAGAGCTGACTGTAAAATAGGTCAGTGTGTAATGAAGCATGCCCCTGGCTTATGCTTGCCAAAAAAACCCTCAAATAATAATTCATAGCAAGAGTATCTCATGGATATCTGAAAGAAAGGCAGAAACTCTTACCTTAACAGGAAAGCTACACTTGCCAGTTCGAACGCCTTCTTCGTCAGTCTGCCACTGATGAGGCCTACTGGCCTCAGGGACATAGACATCTTTCTTTCTCCTAAAGCTTTGCCGTAATTTGTTCATTTCTCAGATTTTCACGTCCTAGAAGAAGAAAAAAAGAATACTGCCAATAGGCACCAAACCACACATTTAGCCACTCTAGATCAACTACTATCTTGACAAATGTCCCAGTGACAAATCTGAGCTTCTGCAGATATGAATGGAAATACCTGTGAAAGGAAAATATTCTGGACATAGATTCAAAGATAGGTAGATATTCACGTCAAAGTGGAAACCACAAATCCACATTATTTGTTTAATATCTTTCCACAGCAACTGATGCATTAGACCCAGGAATAACTACTACTCTTGAGCATAAGGTTACCTAAAATAGCTGACAGAGAAGTTCTGAAGATTGAGGTACATGAAATTCTGCCTCCCCAAATTTAAACACCTACCTAGAGCAACCAGTAGCACAAGCTTCCAAGGCACCCAAGCACGGCAAGGATTCATAGCTCTAAGACTGCCCCTAAAGACCAGCACAAGCACCTAATTTTAAGTACAACTGATAGGTTCATGCTTTTATTGAGGGGCACAGTCAGCCCTTTTTTAGTCCACTGGTAAAAGTCCTTATATTTAAATAAGAAACACATTGAATTGACTTCCATGTCACAGGTAAATCTCTAAACAATTACATAGTCTTACCTCTTCAAAGGGGGAAGACAGTTCTGTCTTTCAAACACTGTCTTTCAGACACCTTCAAAGCCTAGAATTAGATGCTTTTTATACACAATTCTCTTATGTATCAGTTCCTATATACAAGCCAATCTATACTTTAGACGTGCTCACCTTTACTAGATTCAAACTACAGTTAGCCAAGAAGCTATCAGAGAAAGTACCACTAATAAAAAGGTTCAATATTCAGCTACAGAAGTAAAATCATGTGGGACACTATGTGGGGGAATATGGAAAAGATGATTAAAGAATTCTTGAGATGTTGCTTCTCTTTCCCAAAAAGAATCATAGAATGGTTAGAGTTGGAAGGGACCTTAAAGATTAGTGAGTTCCAACCCCCCTGCCACAGGCATGGACACCTCACACTAAATCAAGTTGCTCAAAACCCCATCCGGCCTGGTCTTAACACCTCCAGGGATGGGGCATCCACAGCTGCTCTGGGAAACCTGTTCCAGTGTCTCACCACCCGCACACTAAAGAATTTCTTCTAATATCTAATCTAAATCTCCCCTCTTTCAGTTTAAAATCATTACCCCTCATCCTATCACTACACTCCCTGATAAAAAGTCCCTCCCCATCTCTCCTGGTAGGCCCCCTTCAGGTTCTGGAAGGCCACTATAAGTTTTCCTCTGGACTTGCTCCAACAGGCCCATGTCTTTCCTGTGCTGAGGGCCCCACTCTACGTGGGGTCTCACCAGAATGGAGTAAAGGGGCAGAATCTCCTCCCTCAACCCGCTGGCCACGCTGCTTTTGATGCAGCCCAGGATGCAGTTGGCTTTCCAGGCCGCAAACGCACATTGCTGGCTCATGTTGAGCTTTTCGTCCACCAACACCCCCAAGTCCTTCTCCTCAGGGCTGCTCTCAATCCACTCTCCGCCCGACCTGTATTTGTGCCTAGGATTGCCCTGACCCAGGTGCAGGACCCTCACACTTGGCCTGGCTGAACTTCATGAGGTTCGCACGGGCCCACCTCTCAAGCCTGTCCAGGTCTCTCTGGATGGCATCCCTTCCCTCCAGCATATTGACTGTGCCCCACAGCTTGGTGTTGTGGGCAAATACGCTGAGGGTGCACTCAGTCCCACTGTCCATGTCACCAAAAAGATGTTAAACAGCAACAGTCCCAGTACCGACCCCTGAAGAAGTCTTCTTACAACTGTGACATCTAATTTTGACAGAAAAAAAAAAGCTGCAGAATGCACAGCAGCAAAATCTGACTGGATTACATATGCTTATTCCCCATTAGATTAACTAATCTACAGAATGTAGGTGTTTATGGGTGTCAATAGGTGGCCTTTGTATGAAAGCAGTTTTAAAAGCAGTTTGAACGCTATTTTAAACTTTGAAAAGAACCAGTGTTTTCCAGTTAAAACTATTTCACATAGGTGAGAAAAATCAACACATTCATGTTTGTCGTGTCTGACATTTAAGAAGCTTAAATTCAAAATGCAACCATTTCAAAGCTGTACAAAAGTGAGAAATTAAAAACATTACAGAAAAACACCACCCGCCAGTACTAATTCTCATCAGCCAAATTAAAAATATTGTTTTATAACTCATGACACACTTTAGCCATTCCAAATAACAAAAAGGTATGAGTTTTATCAGTGACTCCCCAAACCCTCCTTCAGCAACTGTCACTTTCCTCCTCAAGCTGCAAGTCATGAGGGAAGCCAGTTCACACTGTATCTTACGGGCATGGCATCCGCTCACTCCTCTACAATCTTCTTTCCATAATCTATTAAAAGCAATACTGTACAGTAAGTAATAATTTAAAGATATGAAGAAAACACTGCTATATCACTAAAAGTGGGAAATTTAAGTGTGGTGATGTTGAAGAGCAAATAAGCATGCTACTCACATGCACGAGTTCAGCGATGAATGCAACGCTGCCTGGCCTTGTAGCATTGTGGCGCATTTTTTCCAGCATGAGGGATAATTCCTGAAGTATTTCTACATTAGCAAACAACCAGACCGAACTCCACTTGTGCTCAAAGATGCTCGATGAGCATTTGAAAGCAATAAGGTAGGGCATTCCAAGCAATCCCAATCTCTCGCAAATTAAATGAAAGGTTTAGATGCACAGCAATGGCCAGATGACTGTCCCTGGAAGGGAGCACCATACCTAGAACAGCCATGAGCTCTAACAAACAGTGTCAGAGCAGGGATAGGAACTGGCTCAGGGATGCTCAATCCCAATTATCTAGTTATAAAGTAGTGTTAGCTTCATTCCTTCATAGCTGCGAAATGCCAGGCATAAAATATTTTCTTGAATTTGCTTGGTAGGATTTAGAGATTAGAACATGTGTGCAAAATAAGACACATGCACATTTCTTAGGACTAAAGCAGCTGAAGCAGCTCTTCTACAAACACAGTTTCTTTATTTTACAAGCTGATAGCCATTTAAAAAAAATCTTTGAATGTGCAAAGGCAATTCTGGAAGTTTTAAGAGGAGATGCAAGGCTTTTACTCCCCATTAAAGCTTAGAGAGGCATTAGAGCAATGTTAGTTATGTGTTTCACCTTACAAACAGCAGACGGAGGAGTCTATGTATCACTCAGTCTAAAGGAACCAGAATTTCAAGGGGGGGGGAGGCATTCAATCACCTTGAGAAGGTGACAGGTACTACAGAAAATGTACTACAGGTACTACATGGCACCTCAGCTCACCAGGACAGACAGACACCCACTTTTGTCCCTGCAGAAGACCGGCAGTGTCACTGCATGATGGGCAAAACCACTGCTGCTTCGGTGCAAAGCTCAGGAGCCTGGTGAGCGTGGAGCCTCAAGCCCAGCTGGTGACTGAGAAACTGGCACAGACACTCTACTCTGCCAAAAAGGGTAACAGATTCTTAAATCAGATACAAACAAAGGCATTAAGACTCATCTGCCAGTATTCAGAGCACAACGGATGAAAAAACGCTTTGTAGAACCTTCAAAGCTACAAACGTGTACGAAAACAACCTGTCGAAAAGTCATCAAGGTAACTCTGAATCTCAGAAGCTTCAGTAAGTAACAAAACAAGAACCGAGAACAGCAGGCAGCCACCGTACCACCTGTGAAATCACAGCCTAATTGCCTTATCATAACATTTGCTTATGCCAGCATTTCCTTGGACTTCACCCAGGAAGCGCTGCTTTTGCCCATGAGACTGGTACCTTATCGGAGATTTATTCTGAGCAGGAATCTCAATCCACAGGGGAGGATGAGAACAAGAGTTCCTCAACTACACTTCCTATGAGAAACTGAAGTGGCACTTTGCCCAGAAGTATTTCCGTTTCACTGAAAACCAAACCCATTTTCCTACATGTTCTAATTTTGGAGTCACGTTGGCAACAAGCAGTTTAAAAATAGCTTATTCTATTTAATAGAAGTGCCGACAAATAGCAAAATTAATTTTAGGCAAACAGTGACCTTTCTCTAACAGCCATACTCAGATTGTCTGACATGTCAGACAGTTTGGAGTAGGCTGTAAAATAAGTTGCTCTATAAACACCTGGTTTGCTGTTAACATGCATGTCAGCCCCATATAACTGGGATTGCCATCTGACAGGAAAGCATTAAGTAAAACAATTTGCACGTTGACTGAGTAATTTGAGGATTCAGGAGAGAAGCACATGAGTTGCTGCACTTAGATGCTGAACCTTCTACTCATTTTGTCTGGAGCTCAAAATGCCTGCACAGGAGCTCCAGAGAAGAGCAAGTGAGCATTTTCTACTTGGAATTCTTTGCAGCCCAGTTCACATTTCCATACAAGCGTGGCATCCCTGCTGACACAAGGGGACACCAACCGAGGCTGCAACAAGCTGGCAGGGTGTTTCCTACTGAACTGGCAGCATCACTGACACTGCAAAGAGTTTTACACTCTGTTTTGGGATTATCTGTCCCTGATTATTCTATATTTAGCAACTGATTCTTGTCCTGTAATTAAAAGCATTTTGAAAACCCCCAAGAAGAAACAAAACAAACCACCAAAGACACCGTTTCCTTTTCACTTTTACAACCCCAAATCCAGTTTGGACCCAGAGAGAGGACAACGGAGAAACAGTATTTGAAGATTAAACCCGGCGGAAAGTCAAGATGGGAAACTCAAAAATCTAATTAAATCACAAAATGTAGCACTATATCAGGGACAAACCGGCATCAAAGGCTGAAAGCACTGAGATCTTCCAGAGAAAAGAGGAAGCAGAGCCACTTTGGGTTCTGTTACATTTCAAGGTTATCTGAACGTTCATGCTCCGTGGAAAAACAAACAAACAAACCAACCCAAAAAACCACACACACACACACCAAGAAAACCTTCACCACTTTTGCAATCCAAGAGATTACAACATTAGACTAAACATTACATCAGTTCCCAAAACACTATAC